CTAGTTGTGCAACAGATGGCCTCTCGGCTGGATATCTGGCAAGCATGGAGTCAGGGAGTTCAAGGTGTGGATGTTCAGGGGTCTGCAAAAGCACAGCTTACTAACAGTAGCAGACTTTCACATTCCACGCTGCCATTGTGGAGGCCTGTCCGTCTGCTCCAAAGCTGAAGAGGCAGATTGGGAACTCATATCTGCAGATAACCGTCAGTGACAAGGATTTCTGAGCGGGTCTCGTTGCTTCTTTTCGTAGTACGTCCTGTGTTCTAGACTTAGTGGAGAAGAGGGTCATGCCAAGTTTATTGCAAGAGCAGAAGGCGACAGGAATGTGTGAGGGATGCCCGGTCGGCTCTTCCTCTCGCTCACCCGACTTAATGCCCTTTGTCTCATCCTCCATTGCTGAACGAGGGCTGATGTGTAAAATGCGGGTGGGGGTCCCTGATCATTTCGCGTTTCTCTTGTTTCCTCCCTCTCTCATGTTTCTGTCTGCCTCTCCTCATATGAGGCCGCTCGGCCTTACCATTAATGCATATTGTGCTTACATAAGTCGCGACGTCAAGAGAAGGAGAGAGCGAGAGAGAGAGAGACATAGAGGCGGCGGTTAACAGGGCCGCCAGGCGAGTGGTAGAACCGACCAAATGCAGGACCGTGGCGAGCCTCCACACGGGGGTCTCCCCCTTGCCCCAAAGACAGACAGAAAGAAAGAGAGGTAGAGAAAGCAAGCATATACGTACTTATATACATATTTGTCCATACACATAAAGATCCTATATCATGCAATAGGAACGAATGAGCTATCTACACGTGTATAAAACGGCCGATTGCAGGAGGAGATCGGTGACTGAAAGGCTCCCTCCAGGCATATTGTTATTTCCCCTTGTCTCCTCTCTCCGTCTCTTCGCCGTCTCATCTGTTGCACATCGTAGCCTTTTCCAATATTGGAACAGGAGAAGACAACAATGACACGAGAGCCATGGAGAAACAACCACCGTTTCTGCGAGTTGTTCAAGATGTTAAGGTCTAGTTGGTAAGGTTTGTTTTTTGGGAACCTTGCAAGGTGCTCTTGATGTACTTAGAACTTCAGGGCTATATTTGTGGAGCTTGAAAGACTTTCAATTTTGAAGCACCAAAAATCTAGGATCCAGACTCCAGACGGTTGCCTGGACTTGATATTTTCGGTTGAGAAGGGCTCGCTGCGGGAGCCTGCTTGAAAACAAGCTGTTGTATAAACATACATCCAACCCAATATGGAAACGCTTATTTCAGCATGCTTTCGCTACAAGAACCAGGATATCCTTGGGGAGAAGTATTTGGGCAAGCTTAGTGCCGGGACCTGCCAACCCAATATTGAAGTACTCGGCTTCTTTCGCTGTCGGGTTGTCCCCTCGCCGCCTTCTCAACGTTTTCAACAATATTGAGGGGTCTTCGCCAGTATTTTACAAGCTTGTTGGCTGTTAACACCCCCCCCCCAAGAACTGTGAAAAACGTGTGAATGTAGCAATTTTGTCAAAGAACTTGCTTGGGGCCTCCAAGTGGGCTCCGAATGTCACCAGGGCCTCATCATCCTGCCGTCCTATTCGAGTGTCCTATCCGAGTGGTTCTCCAGGCAAAGCTGACCTTCATCCACCGAAGACCGCGAAGACCGCGGCAATCAGGGGAGAACACATGCTCTGAGCACCGCCACGCAAAAAGAATCGGGAAAAAAATGCGTGTGCGCAGACTCCGGTACTGGCACAGGGAAGGCGTCGAGAACAGCCTGCTTTGAATAGTGAGCAATCGGGAAGACTGCAGCGACGCCATCAACTGAATCTTTTGGTTCAAGGTGTACAGACTTAGCCGACAACTCGAACAGTGCTGTTCTTGCACAGACCATCGGACCCCTTAGTGGCAGAACCTCCAATCTCAACTAAGCCCACGGCGAGCTCCCAGAGCAGGGACAAACCCAGGAGACAGCAAGAAGATGCCTTCCAGATCTTCCAGCCATGTCAGGCCCAAAGATTACACAGCAAAATGCTCTCGCACGCGTTTGGTTGCTTCTGAGAGAGCGAGAACATCGGGTGATTTTTGGGGAGAACTTAGGCGTTCGTTGATGTGGGCGAAAGGTCATCACTGCCGAAAACATCCCTGGAACCCGAAGCCGCAGAAGCCGTATAAACCCTGCAAGCTTCTCGTCAGGAGCGAGTTTCGGCCTGTGGCCTTCAGGACGGTCAGCATGGGCCTCGAATAGGCAAGATTGACGAGGGAAGACCGCAAGGAAATTAATTTCTGGTGTTTGTTGTACACAATTCTGGCGCCGTAGTTGTACTGGGGACCACAGAAGGAACCAAAATGAATATTGCTCTTTCTTACGAAGGCCCAGGCCACACGCGTGTCAAGCAGCCGATGAGACTCTGACTAGCATTGCTTATCCCGGACCTCTAGTTCCGCCAGATGCTTCACACGCTAGCCGGCTAGATTTGTGTAGCTCATTATGCAGATGGAGCAGTCTAGCCAGTGGCACTTGCAGCCTGAGGCTTCTTTCGCTGCCAGGCACTGCTTGCGGGTCGATGTTGAGCTGCGGATTGATTAGAATCAGAATATCATATGTGCATACATGTGTTTGCATAAACAAATATATGTATATGAGTATGGATATGTATCAAGTGATGGTGCCCGCTGGTTTCCACCTTGTCCCCCTTATCCGGCATAGGCGTGTCTTTCTGAGCGAACCGTTCTGCAGACTTTGCAAAGCTCCAGGGTCTCCGGGTTGAGAGCAAGATGCTTAGCTTTGGTGTACGAATCGTCCTGGTCCGGAGGCCAGAGAGTCGACGTGCCTCTGCGAACCAGGTGTGAGCCTGGAGTTGTTCGGTTCTGTCGGATTCACGGGGGTCAGGTTTATGTCCGGCTACTTGCATTGTGTTGCTCGAATGGAGCCGAAGTAAACCGACGCCAAGAAAGCAGAAATCCTACTCGACCCTTCAATGTCACCAGTTTCGCGCGTCACAGCTGCGATGACCAGTCCAAACCTTTTGTCGAGGCCGTGGGTGCTGACGCCCAGGCCGCGGTGTGCTTCAGTGATGTTTTAGGTGTGGGAAGGTGCCGTATGTTGAACTTTGGGTATCGGTTTGTTTCAAGCGGGTCGCCACCACATGCTGTAAGAGGAAGCTCAAGGCAGCAGGTTCTGGTTCCAGACTCGAGCAGCATGTTCCCTCGCATTCCAACAGAACACGTCAAACAACGAAAGAAGAGAGAACTTCCCATTGAGGAATGGTCAACAGTTGGCTCTTGGCGTTCTCCCTGTCTGCACTTCTCCATGCCAATTGCACTTGCAACGTGCCAGCCTATAAGTCTTCCTTGTAGAATTACCAACAAAGTCTGGGTGGAGACTGTAACGATCCGATGATGGTGGTCAAGTAGTGAGACCTGATCGGCAGAGGCTCCGGCATGGGCGCAGCCACTTGTCGTCGGGCAGCCGCACTCCGAGTTGCTTTCCTTTCGACTGCGTA